AGAGGGCTCTTTGTACCTTGTGTACTGATTAATGGTCTTGATTATTTGTCTATAAGCTGATCTGAATTCTGGCTCCAGGTCAGAACATCTTACGTGGATGAGTCACTAACCCCAGCTTTATTAGTTGTATTCAGGGACAGGCTTTTGCTGTGAACAGAATGCTGCCTGCATTCTCTGAGTGTGACTTTAAGAAATATTTCTTCAAACTTGGGCATGCTCATTGAATATTTAATCTCACATGGATCAGTGATTTTTTTTATTATCATTATTTTTGTGTGATGCATGAGCATAACACAGCATCATATGTGAAACGTTGTGGAGTCAGTCCCTCTGTGGAAGAGTCCTTCTGTACACTGGGAAAATGTGTTGCTCTGATTGACCGATTGCTAGGCAGGATTTTGGGGGCAGAGAGGATACTGGGAAGAAGAAGTTGAAGGAATCAGGAGAGATGCAGAGAGAAGCAAGAGAGATGAGCGTGCTATGTTGAAAGGAGGTGCTAACATTGGCAGAGGGTATATAAGAAATACTGGTTAATTTAAAATTTTAAGAGTTAGCTAGTAACAGGCCTGAGCTCTTGGCTAAGCATTTATAATTTGTATAAGACTCCATGTTGGTTATTTGGTAACTAGTAGGTGGGAAAGAAAAGTCTGCCTACACAGTCCCTTACTTTGATGTGGGCTCTTAGGGTCAAATTCAGGCTTCTGTGGCAAGTGCTCTTGCCCTCTGAGCCATCTCAGCAGCCCTGAACCAGTGATTTTTAAATATCAGTGGGTATGTCCCAATATCATAGTATATTTAAAGAAAGCATTAAAATTTTTAAGTTATTTTTTTTTTGTGTGAGAGTTTTGACTGCATGGTATACATGTGGGTGCATCCTGAGTGGTCAGGATATGGTAATGTTGTTCTGCTCCTTTTGTAATTTTGGAGGTCACCTGGGGAAGAGGTGTTTTTCAGGCTACATGGCAGAACAGGCATAGGTGTGGACATGACCTAAGTCATTCTCCCAGCTACCTAGGAAACAGACTGCTAATGAACTTCCCCCTCCGTTCATGTTTTGATATAAAAGCTGTTTGGAGAATAAATGCGGGTGATCTTCAGGATTTGAATGGACCCTGAGACTCCCTCCCGATACTGTCGTGTAAACTGTTTCAATTATTCCAACACTTCCACGATGGTACGAGAAATGGTTTATGTCTGGGCTGGTCCTCAACAGTGTTCATGAAGCCCAGAAGAGGGTGTCGGAACTTCTGGAATTGAAATTATGGAAGGTGGTGAGCCACTGTGGTGCTGGGAATATACTGTGTTCAAAAAGTTTAGATTCTCTCTCAGATTCAAAAACAGAGGTAGAAGGTCCGAAGAGATGGCTTGTAGCAAGTCTTTCTCTGTATTGCCAACTCCCAAATAATGATACGAAGACTTATTAATTATGAAAGCTCAGCATATAGCTTAAGATTGTCCCACTAGCTTTTATAACTTAAATGAACCCATTTGTATTAATCTACATTTTGTCTTGTGGCTTTTTATCTCTCTTTCATCAGCACTTCCTGTTTTCTCTCCATGTCCTCTGGTGTCTCTCCCAGAAATACTGCCTAACCTCTTCCTGCCTAGCAATTGACCATTCAGCTTTATATTAAACCAATCAGAAGGTACCTTGACAAAGACACATCTTTACAGTGTACAAAGAAGATTATTCCAGGGGCTGGAGAGAAGGCTCAGCAGTTAAGAGCATTGACTGCTCTTCCAGAGGACCTAGGTTCAATTCCCAGCACCCACATGGCTGCTAACAACTGTCTGTAACTCCCAAGATATGACATCTTCACACAGAGATACATGCAGGCAAAACACCAATGCAAATAAAATAAGATTAAAAAAAAAAAAGCCAGACGGTAGTGGTGCATGCCTTTAACACCAGCACTTGGGAGACAGAGGCAGGCAGATCTCTGAGAGTTCGAGGCCAGCCTGGATGCAGAGTGAGTTCCAGGACTGGCTCCATAGCTACTGAGAAACCCTGCCATGGGAAAAACATTATTCCACAGCAATGACTCAGTAGTTGCTGCTCTTGTAGAGGATGAGAGTTTGGTTCGCAGCAGCCACGTGAGAACTTAAAATTATAACTTGAGTTCCAAGGAACCTGATGTCATTTTTTTTTTTTTTTTGGCCTCTATGGGCATCAGGATGCACTCATACACATTAAAAAAAAAAAAACTTAAATATATTTTCTAAAAGTGGTTAAAAAAAAAAAAGGTAGTACATGTAGAGATCCAACCAGGAATGTTAGGAAAAGTTAGTTTTCTTTAGAGATGCATATCACAGAATTAGAATAACTAAGGACAATTGTAAAACCTCATTTCTCATCTCTGTTCTCTGACCACATCACTGTGCCTACACCAAAAATGAAATAAACCTTTATTTACCTTAGGAGATCTCTAGTAAATCATTACAAAATTGTGTCTTATCTGTATCTAATATCTTTATGTAGAAATTTATAGTGTGCTAATAAGATAAAAAACGCTCATATAAAGAAATTTATAGTGTGCTAGTAAGATAACCCTCAGCCGAGTGGTTGGTAGTAGCATAAACCTTTAATCCCAGCACTCGGGAGGCAGAGGCAGGTGGATATCTGTGAGTTTGAGGCCAGCCTGGTCTACATGAGCTGGTTCCAAAATAGCTAGGACTGTTAGAGAAACCCTGTCTCAAAAAACCAAAAACTAACTAAATAAATAAATGAAGCAATTAATTAAAAATGCACCAGTGTGGTTTTTATTGTCCTTTTGTTTTGTTTCGAGGACTGAAGGGATGGCTCAGCAGTTAAAAACACTTCTACTCGGAGCTGGAGAGATGACTCAGTGGTTAAGAGCACTGACTGCTCTTCCAAAGGACCCAGGTTCAATTCCCAGCACCCACATGGCAGCTCACAACTGCCTGAAGATCCAGTTATAGGGGAACTGACACCTTCATACCAGTGCACATAAAATAAAGTTAAATAAACCATAAAAATATTTAAAAATAAATTTCTACTCTCACGGAAGACAGGTATTTACTTCTTGCACCCACATGGAAGCAATGTCTGTTACTGTAATGTCATTTCCATGGTATCTTACATGCATGCAAGCAAAGCACTCATATAAAATACAAACAAATAGGCCAGATGTAGTAGTGCATGCCTTTAATCTTACCACTTAGGAGACAAAGGCAGGTGGATCTCTGTGAGTTCAAGGCCAGCCTGGTGTACAGAATGAACTCCAGGGTGACCAGGTCTGTTACACAGAAAAACTCCATCTCAAAAAAAAGAAAACCACAAACAAAAATTTAAATTTTAGTTGAAGGGGCACACACGCCATAACACATGTATATGTCAGAGGACAACTTGTGGAGTTGGTTTTCTTGTGGGTTCCAGGGATGACTCAGGTGCCGGGCATGGGTTACAAGCGCCTTTACCTACTTGAGCTATTTCCACATCTGTTCTTGTTTTTTTTGAGACAGGATCTGGCTGCCTGTGTAGACTTAAACTCACCAAGATCAGCAGACCTCTGCCTCCCGGAAGCTGGGATCAGAAATGTGCACCACCACAGCTGCCACATAGGGGCCTTTGATTGTTTGTTTGTTTTAGATTGAGTTGCAGCAATCTTCCTGTCTTGCCCCCACCCCACTGCACCCTGTGCTGGGATAACAAGTGTGAGATCTCTTAGCTTCAAATGAATTTAGAAATTACCCGATGGCACTTGGGAGACAGGCAGACTGATCTCTGAGTTGGAGGCCGATCTGGTCTACATAGTGAGAACCTGTCTCAAAATCAACAAAACGTTACCAGAAGATTTGTCTTAAACTAAGAATAGGCATTCAGTGACTGTACCTCTAGCCATTTGGGAGAATTCATCCTGGATCGAATTATGTCTATATACTTAGTGCATAGCACATAAAAAATATTCAGTAACTCTTTTCAAAATCTTTTATCTTTGGGGCTGGAGAGATGGCTCAGAGGGTAAGAACACTGATTGTTCTTCCAGAAGTCCTGAGTTCAATTCCCAGCAACCACATGGTGGCTCACAACCATCTGTAAAAAAAAATCTGGTGCCCTCTTCTGGCCTGCAGGCACACATGCAGACAGAACACTGTAAACTAAATAAATAAATAAATAAATCTTCTTTTAAAAAAATCTTTTATCTTTCAGTTGATTCTAAAACATAGACACATTCATTTTTTTTACATAAGCAAGAAGAGTTCCAGGCCATCCTGTGTGAGACCCTGTCCCCTTTAAAGACAAACAAGCGTGCCACAAGGACATGTGCTCAACTATGATCATAGCAGCTTTGTTTGTCATAGCCAGAACCTGGAAACAACCTAAACGCCCCTCGGCCAAAGCATGGATAAAGAAAATGTGGTACATTCACACAATGGAGTACTACACAGCAGAAAAAAATGACGGCTTCAATTTTGCAGGAAAATGGATGGAGCTAGAAAACATATTTTGAGTGAGGTAACACAGACACAGACAGACAATTATCAAATGTACTCACTCATAGGTGGTTTTTTTTATATAAAGCAAAGAAAACCAGACTATAAACCATAATCCCAGAGACCTTAGACAACAATGAGGACACTAAGAGAGACTTACAGAGATCTAATCTATATGGGAAGTAGAACGCAGAAAAAGACAAGATCCCCTGAGTAAATTGGGAGCGTGGGGACCTTGGGGTAAGGTTGAAGAGGAGAGGGGAGAGGTAGGGAGGGGAGCAGAGAAAAATGTGGAACTCAATAAAAATCAATACAAAAAAATACAAAAACAAACAAGCACGTGTACTTCCTAATTAGGTGGTATTCATTTTTCACTAAGGAAGTAACTCTGAAGCACAAACACGTAAATTGTGCATTCTAGGAGACAGTACTTTGAAGAGTGTCTCGAAAAACCTGAAACAACTTTCCTGGTTTGGGAAGGTCGTGGGCTTTTCCAAAATTGCTTCTGAGCATGAGCGGAAGTCACTCTTTGAGCAGTCTCCGGTGTAGTTTAATGATAGGTGCCATATTCTGGACGGAGTAGCCCGTCTTCATTCTGTTCTTCCGGAGGTTCACACCAGTGAGTCTATTTTATTTTCTTACAAGAAAATAAGAGTGCATTCAAAGACGGCTTTAAGGTTACACAACGCCTCATCTTCCCATAGTAAAGATGGCGAAACCCTGAGTAAGTAAGAAGCAACTCCACTTCCGCATTTTTCTTGTGCCCTGGTCCAAGATGGCGGACGAGGCTACCCGGCGGGTCGTGTCCGAGATTCCGGTGCTGAAGACTAACGCCGGACCCCGAGATCGGGAATTGTGGGTGCAGCGACTAAAGGAGGAATATCAGTCCCTTATCCGGGTCAGTTTTACTGCTGCGGTTGACCGCGTAGAAAAAGGGTGGCGGGGAATCAGGTGTCCTCAGAAATTGGCTCCGTGTGGAAGCTGCTTCCGGTTTTTAAGTTTATAAATTCATAGAAATGCGACTCTTTGGGGGTCTGGGGGGGGTGGGGTTTACGGGTGGACGGAGGGAGGATGCAGAAGAAATTCTAATTAGGAATACAGTAGGACTAGACCTTGAAGGAAAAAAACAGCAGTGTTCTTGGAAGGTGACGTGTCGCTCCCGCTCCAGGTGTTTGCGCTACTGAATATAGGACTAGGGGTCAAAAGTGCTTCTTAGAGCCCGAGGTCTCAGCTCTTCTTTCATTCTTCGTGATGAAATTAATGGAATGAATGAAAGGAATGAATGTCAAAACTGAAAACTTAATGTGTTAGTTGTAGAGCTAGGGATTGGTGCCTCTAGTTATAAAATAGCTATCTTTTCAGCTAATCTGTTGTATCAAAAGAAAGATTACACCCCTTATGGTGGTTTCTATCAGCTCTTCTTATATATTGCTTCACTGAGAAACTGGCTGAGTGCTTGCTTAGCAGGGGTCTACTGCTCCTAGCACCTCATAAACTGGTGTGACTCATGCATTCTCAGCACTCAGGATGTGGAGGCAGGAGGATTGGAAGTTCAGGTCATTTGGACTACACGAGACCCTGCCTCAAACACAAAAACAATAAAACATTATTGTGTTCTTAGTACCCTGGAAGGCATACAAGGTCACTAACAAGGGTCCTGCTGAGGTTGACAGGAACAGTGTTATGCTGTGTTTAAGTGGAAAGACAGACGTAACTAGGATATTTTGAGAGTATGAGGAGAGATGTGTAATTCAACTTTAGTTTGCTAAGGTAAGGATACTCAGAAGTTTAAAACCTGGGGGCTGGAGAGACGGCTCAGAGGTTCAGAACACTGATTCCTCTTCCTCTTCCTCTTAGAGGTCCTAAGTTCAATTCCCAGTAACCACATGGTGGCTCACAACCATCTATAATGAGATCTTATGACTTCTTCTGGTGTGCAGGCATGCATGCAGATAGAACACTGTGTATATAATAAGTAAATCTTTTTTAAAAAGTAGTAAAACTTGATTTGAAACTTGAACTATAAATACAGGGGCGAGAGAGAGAGATGGCTCAGTTTGTAGAAATGGGCTACTCAACCTGACAACCTGAGTTTGGCCCCTGGAACCCACATAGTAGTAGGAGAGAACAGGATCCTTTGAGTGCCCTCTGACTACCACGTGCACAGTCTTGACATGGGTACACACACACACACACACATCTAAAACATAAGGGTAGGAAAAAAGATACTCAAGACATAAGGACAGAGGCTGGAGAAATAGCTCACTTACTGCCCTTGCAGAGGACCTGGTTTGGTTCCCAGCACTTAAATGGTGGCTCACAGTTATCCAGTTTCAGGGGTTCTGATGCCCTCTTCGAGTCTCCTCAGGTACCATGTGCACATGTGGTATATACAGGCAGGAAAAAAAAAATCACTCACGCACATAGATATTTTTAAGAGTTTTGTTTTTATTTTTTGTTTTGCAAAGGAAAAAAATATAAGGACACCATGAGCAAAGGAATGCAAGCTAGCAACAGGATGGTATAAGCTGGGAGCCTGTAACTGCAGCAGTCGTGGTGCTGAGGCAGAAAAATTTCAGGTCTGAGGCCAGCCTAGACAGTTTCAAAGCCTTCCTGGGTTACAGAATGAGTTCAAGGCCAGCCTGAGCAATTTAGTGAGACCCTATCAAGAAAAGAAAAAGTAAAAATTGGGCTAAGGCTGGCTGTCATGGTACATATCTATAAACCTAGTATGAGGGAAGCAGAGGCAGGAGAATTTCAGTGACTTTATTGCCAGCCCTGGCTACAGAGAGACCTTGTAACAGGCAAACAGCAGAAACTAAAGTCAGCAGGACATCATGAAATATTAGTGGGGAAAGGAAAGGGAAGGTCAAGGATGAAGGCTGGTCTTTTGGTTTAGTGACTGAATGAGACTGCCACCTGAAATTGAGAATGTGTGTGGTGGTTCACACCTGTTATCCCAGCACTCAGGAAGGGCAGGAGGATCAAAATGTCAAGGTCATTCTTAATTATAAAATGTAGGTTGGGCTGGAGTCCCTGAAGTGGAAGAGGCAGAGGCGAGGGGTACAATATAAAATCCAGATGGGAGTGCTAAGTTTCTGTTTTCTGTTAAAGGTATATAAATTGAAGTCAGAGGGTGGTTGTAAATACCTTTAAAACCAGCACTGGGGAGGCCGAGGTGGGTAGGTAGGTGGGTCGCTGTGAGTTCAAGGCCAGCCTGGTCTACGAAACAGTTCCAGGACAGCCAGGGCAACACGGGGAAACCCTGTCTTAAAAAAATTAATTAATTAAAATAAGTAAATTTAAAAAGAAAAGGAATAAACTGAAACATGCAGTTGAATAATAGAACCTGAAATTCTGGTTTGAGTCACTAACTTGTAGGTGCTAATGAAAGCTAGCACAGGGTCCTCCAGGAATAATGTAGGTGGTAAAGTGAGTTTGGGGCTAAGGAGAGGTACTATCAGAAGTGAGAAAATAATCCTATGAGTCTCTAAACATTTCATACTTGCTGTACTGTGGGAAACCTGGACATTCTGTTCTCTATTCTGGGAAGGCACCCAGCTTACATATGTATCCTTTTCTTTCATTTTGCTTATGTCTGATAAGTTGTGAAAAATGTACTAGAACAGAAAATAGTCATACTTTTGAAGAGGGACAACCCTTGACTCTAGCTCCCCCTACCCTTTTTTTTTTTTTAAAGATTTATTTATTGTACTATATATACTGTGTTCTGCCTGCATGCCAGAAGAGGGCATCAGATCCCATTATAGATGGTTGTGAGTCACCATGTTACTGGGAATCGAACTCAGGACCTCTGAAAAAGCAGCCACTTCCCTTAACCTCTGAGCCATCTCTCCAGCAATCCTCCCCCTCTTTTTTTGATACAGAGTTTCTCTGTATAATTCTTTGGACAGGAACTCACTTTGTAGACCAGGCTGGCCTCAAACTCACAGAGATCCTCCTGCCTCTGCCTCCTATGCTAACATCACAGGTGTGCGCTCTCACTGCCTGGCTCCAGCTCCTTCTTCTAAGATTTCATTTTCTGCTTTCAGTATGTGGAGAACAACAAGAATTCAGACAATGATTGGTTCCGACTGGAGTCCAACAAGGAAGGGACCCGGTAAGCAGACCCTCTTGGGAGGTATGAGTGGGATCCTTACCTGGCTTAAGCAATTTGTTATCCAATAACCAACCCAAAGCCGCCATGCCATACATCAGTTTGGAGTTCCCTAATTCCTGACCTATGAGTCTTCCTGCTTGGTGGCCTAAACAGAGGTGTCATATGAGTGTGATCAGAGTAGGCTGACTAGACTGGGGTTTGGTCTTTGTTCCAGGTGGTTTGGAAAATGCTGGTATATCCATGACCTCCTCAAATACGAGTTTGACATCGAGTTTGACGTGAGTGTGATAGAATGGGAAGTATGAAGGTTAGTAGAAAGGGATTGATCAGATGATTGTTAGCAAGCTAAACTGTTTGGAAGGGACTAAATAAAACTTGTAAAATGGGAGGGGAAAGCTGAGGTTTGAAGCAGATATGTAACAGTTGCTAATCTCTATGTTTAGAATCCTAGCCTGTACCTGTCGCTTGGGGGATCTGCTGAATAAGCAATTCAACCAAGAAATGTGTATGTTTAATTAGACGAGTTCATTTCTCTCCTGATTCTCTGTTTTATTAAGGCTTTGTAATTTCTCCAGATTCCTATCACATATCCCACTACTGCTCCAGAAATTGCAGTCCCTGAGCTGGATGGAAAGACAGCAAAGATGTACAGGTAGGACTGGGTAGGAGGTGAGAAAGAGCAAGGAAAGCCTTAGGGAGGAGCTCAAGAGACAGAGAGTTTCCCCAGAGGGTACCACTCCAGAGTCTGGAGGGAGTCTAGGTTTCCCTGTGCCATGCCTATGCAAAGTACTTAGCTGACCCTGTTCTCAGTTCTGAGCGCTAATCTTCCTGTGTTCCCAAGAGACTGCTACACATTATGGCTAGTTTTTCATGTCAATGCCTTCTTCTTGTCCTCCTCCTAGGGGTGGCAAAATATGTCTGACTGATCATTTCAAACCTTTGTGGGCCAGGAATGTGCCCAAGTTTGGACTAGCTCATCTCATGGCCCTAGGGGTAAGTTTATTTTTCTTGGTATATGAGAGGAAGTGGGGAGGGTTCATGACCTAACCAGTACCAGCAATGTAGCTGAGACTAAGGGAGTAATGGTGTTGTCACTTGGGCATGTTGTGGAGTCTCTAGGAAGGAGGGTCAGATGCAGTAAGAGGCGCTGACTATGGCAGTAACCTCACAGGGTCTCCCTTGTATTGCAGCTGGGTCCTTGGCTGGCAGTGGAAGTCCCTGATCTGATTCAGAAGGGTGTGATCCAGCACAAAGAAAAATGCAACCAATGAAGGATCAAGCCACCGAGGCAGAACAGAGGAACTTGATAGGCTGTATTCCTGTTTTCTTGTGAATTTTTTCCCTAACTCATGATTCTTTCTCGGATCACCTCTGGCTGTTACAAAGTAGCTATAGGTGGAGTGGGGGGAAAAAAACCAAAACCCAACAATAGGGTAAGGTCACAAAGTTTCTAAGTTAAGCTGTACAGGGAGATAAAAGACTTGAACCTTGAAAGAGGCAATTTGTATTCCTTCTGCAAGTGGAACCCTGGAGGCATCTTGGAGGCACAGGGAATTAACTGACAGCTCATGGCTTTTTTTGGTTTCTGGAAACAACCTGTCAATAAAAGCTGCTTCCCATGTATGTAGCCTGTGGTTCTCACTGATGACTGTTACAAGGTGAACAAGCAAAATACAGAGGGACATGAACAACTATACTAGGTTGGGAGGGGAATGTCCTTTCAAAGGATAACAAATGGAAGAAAAAAATCCGTTTTTTTTCACTGTCGTTGAGATTTGAGTTTGCCCTTTAGCGATGAGCCATGTTTTGCTTACTGCCTGAGCCTGCAAAGGGACTTGAAGAATGGGTTTTACAGGTTTGGCGTTCTATGCTCACTAGGGATCTCTCATGCCTAGGTGGAGTGCTAAATGCTTCGCTATTGGTTTTCTGGCTGCAGCTGGACCTGGCATGCAGCTTTCCACGCTGCATCCCTTTTGTTTGGAAAGAAGCCCTTGCAAGTCCTTCCGTTATTCGATGTTTCGGTTCTTCATCCCTTTGGACCGCATGAAGGGATGGGGGGCCCTGCCCTCAAGGACTTGCAGCAATGGTTTAAAGACCACCAACCAGCAGGGCCGGGAACTAGTGGTTCTAAAGTTGGCTGCGTTTCCATGGTGTCGGTCGGGGAGCCGTGGGGGCGGGCTCACGCAAGCGCCGAGGAGGTGGGTGGGAGGATTCCGAGAGTGGGCGCGCAGGCGCCTTAAGAGATTGTGAAGCCGGTGGCCGGTGGCCGGGCGGCACCAACAAAGATGGCGGTGGCCCTTGCGGCGGGAGCAAGCTGGGCAACAGCTGCGGCTAAAGCTGCAGCCCGGCCCGCGGGGAGGCTGTTCGGGGTTCGGAGGGGGTGGCCCTGAGCTGGAGCTGGACCCCGGCTGGCCTCCCCCGCCGCCTCACCGGGGGACAGGTATGGGCCGGGACGTTATGGCGGGGTGGGGTGGGGTGGGGTGGGGGAGCTGAGGGAGCTGAGGGAGGACGGATCCAGACCCCAGAGGACGTTCATCACAAAGGGAGAGGCTCGCGGTGCCCAGCGGGGCCTGGGAGAACCGAGCTGGATGAACAGCATTCTCGGACCGCGGGGAATATGCCGCCGGACCCCGTAGCCAATCAGCGGCCTCGGCCTTTCTGCCCTCGAGGGGGGCGGACCCGGGTAAACCCCCCCCCCCCCCCGCTGTGGTGGGAGAGGTGCAGAAATTAGGGGTCAAGTAGTCGTCCTCCATCTCAAACCATTGCCCCCTGAGTTCAGCTATCAAGTGGGGGCCCAGAACTGGAAAGGGAATGGGTTGCAAATCACCCATTTAATCGGCTTCATTTGCAACCCAGAGGGGCAAGGGTTGAGGTTGGAATGCTGTCTTTTGGACTGATTCCAGAATCCAGGGTCCCAGATCTGGGGTATATCTTACTTGACTAGCCAAATATGAGGATTTTTAGGAGTTTGTAGATTATAAAAACGGCTGAAATTGGGACCACCACTGGCTTTTCAATAAATCTGTATTCTATAGAGGGGGTGGGGCATGAAAGGTCAAAATGATGGGCTACTATTCAGTCATTAGTTTATTCAAGGGATACTAAGGATTTCCTTTATGTCAAACATTGCTAAGTTCTGGGGATGCAAGAATTGATTTTATAGACGTGATTCATGCCCTCGGTACATATAGAAGCCAGCTTGCGTGGTAGCCTATATCTTATCTCCCTTACTAATTCAAATGCTGATCTTCTGTTCTCAGGTCCAGCCTGTGGTGTCCACAATGCCCCAGGCTTCTGAGCACCGCCTGGGCAGGACTCGAGAGCCACCTGTCAATATACAGCCCCGAGTGGGAGCCAAGATACCATTTCCTCCCCGGGCCCGCAGCAAGGAGCGCCGAAACCCAGTTCCTGGGCCAAACTCCATGTTACGGCCTTTGCCACCCAGGCCATGTCCCCCAGATGAAAGGCTCAAGAAACTGGAACTGGGTCGGGGTCGGACCTCAGGCTCTCGTCCTAGAGGCCCCCTTCGAGCAGATCATGGGGTTCCCTTGCCTGGCTCACCGCCCCCAACTGTGGCTTTGCCTCTCCCATCCCGGACCAACTTAGCCCGTTCCAAGTCTGTGAGCAGTGGGGACTTGCGTCCAATGGGAATTGCCTTGGGAGGGCACCGTGGCACTGGCGAGCTAGGGGCTGCACTGAGCCGCTTGGCACTCCGGCCTGAGCCTCCCACTTTGAGACGTAGCACTTCTCTCCGGCGTCTTGGGGGCTTCCCCGGTCCCCCTACCCTGCTCAGCATACGGACAGAGTCCCCTACTTCCCGTGGCTCCTTCCACATGATATCTGCCCGACCCTCTGAGCCTTTCTACTCTGATGACAAGATGGTGAGGACTTGCCAGCACACGTGGTCTCCCATGACCATGTTACTCTTGCCTTCAACTCTCTTGTCGTAATATGGCTTTCTTGTTCCCTTCTCCAAGTCCCCTTGTCAACCCCTTATTACACCAGTGGACTCTTCTCTTTTCTGAGGCCTTCTAGATATTATTTTGGGTTGTATGTGATTCTTCAACTCGATGTGCCATTCTGGTCCCTAGGGAATTAACTATTTAGAATTCTTCTTTAGGTCCTTAGGCCCGCCCGTTTAAGGCAATTTCTCTCCTAGGACTGGGCCTAGACCTAATTAATCCCTGGGTTGAAGAGGGGCGGAGTTAGAGCCCCTGGGCTGAGTAGGGGCGGAGTTAGAGCATCTACTGCTACTGTTCCCCATTTCCTGAGCTAAGTGAGCTAAGCTGCTTGCAGTTGGAGCCAGCAGGACAGGGTGCAAGAAGGGGCCACGGGGGCAGGAGGGGGATTTGGGGGCAGTAAAGTGGGGGTGGGGAGCAGCTGGGCAACCATGCCAGTGCTTGGGGAATTGCCTCAGGAACTGCAGCGCCGGCTAGCTGGGCAGCGGAGCAAATGGGGAATAGGTGTGACAGCCATGGCTGAGTCTGTGGTACACTCAGCTGTGATGGGTTTACTACTCATGACCAATGAGGTAGGAGGACCAGGGAGGGCAAAAGGGTCGAGCTGGGGCACGAATAGGGTGGGGGAGACTTTCAGCAATATGCTGCTGAAAGTACCGACTAGAAAAATGACTGTACTCTGACCTTCCAGGCTCATCACACCCTGCTTCTGGGCTCTGGTCATGTTGGCCTCCGAAATCTGGGAAATACAGTAAGAGCCATTTTCCTGTTCTTTTCTCTGTAAAAGGAGTGTGAAATGGTGTTGGGGGTGGGGCCAGCCTGCGAATTTGGGGAAGACACACAGGAGAGCGCTGACCTCTCCTTAAGGCTGGTTGGACCCCATTACTGGAAAGGTAATGGCAGTGTCCCTGCTGCTTCCCCAGTGTTTCCTGAACGCCGTGCTACAGTGTTTGAGCAGCACAAGGCCTCTTCGAGACTTTTGTCTTCGAAGGGACTTCCGGCAAGAGGTCCCTGGAGGAGGCCGAGCCCAGGAGCTCACAGAAGGTGGGCAACGTCCTTCTGATTCTTCTGTTCACTTCCCCCTATCCTTTCAATTCTATACCCCAGTACCTATGGTTCCCAGCCCTTCAATCTGACACCTACATCCATTTTCCGGGTTCCTCCATTCTAGAGGTTTTCTTTCCACTGACTCTCCTCTTGCCTGCTCTTCTAGACACTAATCTTTGTGCCCCTTCCCCACGGTCACACCAACAGCCTTTGCAGATGTGATTGGTGCCCTCTGGCACCCTGACTCCTGTGAAGCTGTGAATCCTACTCGATTCCGGGCTGTCTTCCAGAAATACGTTCCCTCCTTCTCTGGATACAGGTGGGGATACTGAGAGGATGGGAGTTCTCTCTGGCTGGGGCTGGGGCCAAGCAGGGGCTACAGCTCCATCGTTCGGAGCCTTGAGAATTTCTGCACTGAGGATATAGGGACCCATATTTGGGCAGGGAATACTGTCTGTGGACTAAGAGGGGATCAGTTGCTCATATTCTGTCCGGCTGTAGCCAGCAGGATGCCCAAGAGTTTCTGAAGCTCCTCATGGAGCGGTTGCATCTTGAAATCAACCGACGTGGCCGTCGGGCACCACCAATCCTGTCCAGTGGTCCAGTGCCCTCTCCGCCTCGCCGAGGAGGGGCTCTGCATGAAGAACCAGAATTAAGGTAAAGGTTGCTCCCCCTTGCTCTTCTCCCCAGTAGCAGTCAGTCGTCACAGAACTGAGCTAAGTGAAACTGGAAATGTGGGACCCTGGGGAGACCCTTTACCATAGAAAAATAAATGGTTTGTAAGTATAAGAAAGGACAGAAGGGAGGAGAAGGGAAGCTGAAGGATGCAGATAGAGGCATAAAATAGAGTTGGGGGTGTCACTAAATTGGGAAAGGAGGGATCTTTTACAATAAAATATACCAATGGGCTTTCAGAGGGGGGCTGGCATTTTTCCTTTATATACTTTTCCTCTTATCCTGGACTTCCCCAGAAAGTTCCTGAAAGAACTTTGACTAGAAATTTAGGGAAGGAGCTGGTATGCGGATAGGGAACAGGGCTCTGTGGTTAATTTCCATGGCTTGGGGGTACCCGTTATTATAACTGCCTCATGGGTGCTCCCTCCCTTCCCTTGATCTGTGGTAGTGATGATGACCGAGCTAACTTAATGTGGAAGTGCTACCTGGAGCGAGAAGACAGCAAGATCGTGGGTATGGAGTGGGCAAAACAGTGGGGGTTTGGGCTTGGGAGAGGAATGAGAGCGAGGCTGGGTGATGATGTGAAGTGGTTTGTAGAGTCGGGTGGTGGCGGCGTTGGAGTCAGAAAGGCAGGTCCAGCAGGGGCAGGATTCTGCCGCCTTCAGCGTCCAACAGTGACTCTCTCCTGCTTTTGCCTCTACCCAGACCTATTTGTAGGCCAACTGAAAAGTTGCCTCAAGTGCCAGGCCTGTGGGTATCGCTCCACGACCTTCGAGGTTTTTTGTGACCTGTCGCTGCCCATCCCCAAGGTGGGATTCCAGAAGGTTCCAAGGGTGGATGAAACATGGGTTCTGTGACCCACCCCTATGTGTGGGTGGGAACTATGTGGGCCTCTAAAGCAGAATTGAAGCCTGGATTATGAAAAGATAAAAGATTTAAAAAAAAGAAAGAAAGAAATTCAGAACATTCTGACCCTTCCTTCCTTCCCCCCCCAGAAAGGATTTGCTGGGGGCAAAGTGTCTCTGCGTGACTGTTTCAGCCTTTTCACCAAGGAAGAAGAGCTAGAGTCGGAAAATGCCCCAGTATGTGGGGGTTTAAAATGGTGGGAGACTTGGGGGAGTCTGTCTGGATAAAAGGAAATGCATACTTACTTAGTTGGGAACATGTCCGGGTGTGTTAAAGTTAGGATCTCAGATATGTTGTAGTATGCCTAAGTTAGAGGGGGAGGTGCAAAGCCATGAGAAACATACTAAATTTATATGTGAAGTGGGGTGTCAAAAACGAGCTGAGGTGAGAACACACTGACCTAACACTATTTGCTGTTTATTTAGGTGTGTGACCGATGTCGGCAGAAAACACGAAGTACCAAAAAGTTAACAGTACAAAGATTCCCCCGCATCCTCGTGCTCCATATCCTAATCTTCGCGTTCTTATTCCTCTTAGGGCATCTCCCATACATTCTCTTTCCTTACCTTCATTGAGTTTTCCCTCAGAAAAACCTGCCACCCCAACTTTCTTTGCCATCTCTCAGGACATGTTGGGGGAAGAGAGGGTACTGAATTTCTTACTGCAGCTCCCTTAGGGACCCTCAGCCTCCCAAATGCTCCTTAACCAGGGCTTAGATCTGAATCGATTTTCCACCTCCCGAGGCTCCATCAAGAAAAGTTCAGTAGGTGTAGACTTCCCGTTGCAGCGACTGAGCCTAGGGGACTTTGCCAGTGACAAAGTGGGTGAGTCTGGTGGGGAGTGTCCTGCGGCACCTTCAGGGGTGGAACACAACTCTTGATTGAAGAAACTCATGTTGTCTGACCCGCAGGAAGCCCTGTCTACCAGCTGTACGCTCTTTGCAACCACTCGGGTAGTGTCCACTACGGACACTACACAGCCCTGTGCCGGTGCCAGACTGGTTGGCATGTCTACAATGACTCCCGGTGAGCACAGCCTCTTATTCAACTCCTGCCCCATCGCACTGCAGCCCTGGCACCCTCCCCTCCTCTGAGGCCCCAAAAGATGAGCTCCTGACAAAGAAGTCTCGGTCAAGTCTCTCCTGAGCTCCACCTGGGTACTCTGAGTTGAGGCCTGTAGGGGGGAGGGGGAACACACAGGAATAACTACAACCACTCCCTATTTCCCTTCTTCGTAGTGTCTCCCCTGTCAGTGAAAATCAGGTGGCATCCAGTGAGGGCTACGTGCTGTTCTACCAACTGATGCAGGAGCCGCCGCGGTGCCTGTGACACCATCTTGAAGCCCTGGCACCTGTGAAAACCTTTTCAACACCCTTAAGCCCCCAGGCTCCCCATTTACCTCAGAGACGTCTATTTTTGTGTCTTTTTAATCGGGGAGGGGGGTGGTTGTAGCTCCCATTATTTTTTTTATTAAGAAACACCCTTTCACCTTGTTTCCTGTCCCATGTACAGAGCTCACCAGGCCCTTGACCATGTACAGCCCCCAGAACCTCTGCAATCTCACTTTTTGTGAATAAATTTATTAAGAAAAAGTGATGTTCACGTTTAAATTTGCGGATAAGAGGGAATGGATATCCAGCATTTGGTTCAATTGGAGCCGTTCTGGGGCCCAATTCCGTCTCTGAACAGGCGGGGGCGCTCTCAGAGTAGAAGGAAAAGACGGGATTGAGTAGGCCCAACACTTGTGCCCTAACGGAGTTTTAGTATTACTCGGAAGACAAACATTGAGACTTGTGAAGCGGCGGAGAGGCCTAAAACTAGAGCGCAGGCATTGGCACGCCGGGTTTGCCGGAGAGAGGACCTGCCCCTCGAGATCAAGGCACCCAAGAACCCCTGTTGACAAACACTGGTTTCGTTGCCGGGTGGCCTTTGCTCCCGTAGGCCCTGACTGTTGCTAACATCAAAGAGCTGTTTATGGAACCACCTCCCCACGGACTGGCCTCCAAGTGTCTCTCTCCAGCCAAGGCTCATGGGGCCCTCCCTCCAGGGTTCTCACCACAGGCCTAGGAAGCTTAAGCTGGGGAATGCTAACTCCCGGATTCAGCTTTTCACTGCCTTGGCCCTGGGGAAGGCCGCGCCGGCTATTGCAACTAACTCCGATTAGGCAAAGAACCGGTTAGCTGACTCTGGACGTAGCTGCTGCTCCGCTGGCAACGTCACTGCCAATCCGGTGTCTTCATTGGTGGATGTATCCAGCACTCACCAATCAAGAGCCTACTTTCCAGAGCCCACCAATCCTGAAGCAGTAAAGCAAAGCGCAGCTGCGGGCGGACTGAATGGAGTAGACGGAGAGTCGGAGGGACCCTAAAATTTAGGGGCGGGGATCCTAGACTTGAACCTGCTCACCCGCTGAGGTTGGGGAAACCGTGTGCTGCAGAATTCTGGCCCCCGGAGGGTTTGAGCTGGGAAGATAGCGCGGGCGTGGGCCTTATCTGCACACCCACAGGAGACACTGGTCCTAGGGCCTCTATATCACTCATTTCCCCTGGTTTCCCCTATCTGGTGGGTAAGTCCTGACCTCTGAACGAAGACTTCACTCTTCTACCAGCAAGTACACGCGCGCTCTGCCTTAGATGCTCACAAATAAGTAAGTGCCCAGAAGTGGGGTACGGGGCCAGTGGGGGTTTCTGCAGTTGTAAAACAGTGTGCCTCCGGTTCTGCCGGGTATCTTGACCTTTCCCTAGGCCTTACAATGGGCCGGACTGTGATCGTGCTTGGCGGGGGTATCAGTGGATTGGTCGCAAGTTATCATCTGATCCGAGGCCCCTGTCCCCCTAAGGTGAGTTTCCACTAGAACCAAAGAAAGACTAATTTAAAACTCTTAACATTTCCCATAAAAACTGAATAGATTCTGTTCCATGGAATGTGAAGTTCCCTCTATCCCCAGTCCCTTCCCCTGAACCCACAGTGTCTCACTTTTGGCACCAGGTGATCTTAGTGGAGGGCAGCAAGCGTTTGGGAGGTTGGATCCGCTCAGTCCGAGGATCAGATGGTGCTATCTTTGAACTTGGACCTCGAGGAATTAGGCCAGCTGGAGTGTTGGGAGCCCGGACCCTGCTCCTGGTGAGCGTCTTGTGGAATGTGTAGGACAGACAGGCAGTTGGGGGAGGGGGAGCTTTCCAAAGGGAGGGAGTGGCAGAGGGGAAAGACATTTGTTGGGTCAGTTTTTCCTTAGTGTCTCCTCTTCCTGAGGGCTTGTGGAGAACAGGTTTCTGAGCTTGGCTTGGAGTCAGAAGTCTTGCCTGTCCCGGGGAATCATCCAGCTGCCCAGAACAGGTTCCTGTATGTAGGTGGTGCCCTGCACCCCCTACCCTCTGGCCTCAGGTAACACCTCACCTCCTAACTGTACACCTACCTCTTCCATCCACTCCCTGTCAGCCCTTCCAGCCATAGGGGTTAAATGAATGAAAATAACACCCAGGAGCTGGGAAAGTGACTCGGGGAGCTTTCTTTTCACAATGCCTTCCTCCATGCAGGGGGCTACTCCGCCCTTCACCCCCCTTCTCCAAACCTCTGTTTTGGGCTGGGCTGAGGGATTTGATGAAGCCCAGGGGCAAAGAGCCTGATGAGACTGTGCACAGTTTTGCCCAGCGCCGCCTTGGACCTGAGGTGACACTGCTCAGACAGAGGTGGTCTCAACCCTCTCCCCTCCTAAACCAGCTGCTGTATCTAGGGATATCCTCTTCCCATTACTCGGTGTTGGGAATAAACGCCTTCCTTTCCTTCCCACCCTTTGGTTATAGTGGGAACACCCCCCAACACAAACTCTCTCCCTTCCTCATTCCCTCCCAAGCAGGGGCAATGGAAGTCAGTCAGGGTGCCTTATTCCTTGACCCCTCAGACCCAGTCTTACCCTTAAGGTGGCATCTTTAGCCATGGACAGTCTTTGCCGAGGAGTGTTTGCAGGCAACAGTCGTGAGCTCAGTGTCCGGTCCTGCTTTCCCAGTCTCTTCCAAGCTGAGCAAGCCCATCGGTCCATATTACTGGGGCTGCTGCTGGGGGCAGGTGAGGGGAGGGGCATTGGCTCACAGGGTGAAATATAAAGCCTGACAAAGTGAGGTATTTGTACAAAGGGTACTATTTTGATAATATATATTTGTCTCCTTTTAGGACGGAGTCCACAGCCAGACTCCTCATTAATTCGTCAGGCCCGGGCTGAGCGGTGGAGCCAGTGGTCACTCCGTGGAGGGCTGGAGATGTTGCCCCAGGCCCTTCACAACCACCTAACCAGTAAAGGAGTCACTGTTTTCAGAGGCCAGCCGGTCTGCGGGCTCAGCCTCCAGCCAGAAGGGCGCTGGAAGGTAGGAGAACCTCTGGAGTATAGTAAACTTGTATCAGTGTTATTGGATTTGTTGTTGCTGTTGTTGTTATATTTAATATTGCAAAAATACATTTAGCAAAAAGTTTCATATGAAAATGTGCATGACCCGATTTTATACCATAGTCAAATAGGACCTCTGGGGAGGGATGTGGACTTCTCTGCTGAATATCCATCTCTTTAAACTTGGTCCAAGACTTAAAAACACGTTTGCCATGTGTCTTCCATCCTATTATTCCGTGGTCCACAAGTTATCATCTCTCTACACACCTCCCAGTCACAAGATTCACAAAGGCGTCAAAGCCCTGCAGTATTCTGTGGACATACCTGCCACCTTTTAACGTCAGTGATAACTTCTTGTCCACAAACTTCTGCTATGGAGCAAGGGAGGGACTGAAGAAATAACTCAGCAATTAAGAGTACATACTGCCTTTGCAGAAGACCTGGGCTCTGTTCCCAGAACCCACATCAGGTGGCTCACCACTGCCTGTAATTCCTCCTCGGGGGCTCAGAAAATCTCTACTGGACTCCACAGACTAGTATGCACACACACACCCTGTTTCACTATCTTTGTCTGAGTAGTTTAACCAGGTCAGGGCTGATAGCATTCGACTGTTTTCTTGCCTTAGAGAAGCTCTTTTGATATTGACTACCTCAGGTTCCTAAGCTTTATGTGTGAACCTTCCTCAAACAGCCCTTATGGATGTGAAGAGAAGTAATTCTTTGGGGTGGTCTGGGACAGGAAGAAGATAGCCCACTTTCATTGACCATTTCAGAGCAGCCACGCTGACCTCTTTCTGGTCCACCTTCTGGATTATGCAGAGGATTTTTGTTGTTCAGATGATATTGTCATTCCCAGTCTTCATCCTGGGTCAACACCCAGTCTTTCCTGTCTCTTGGGTACCTGGGAAGCTAAGAGTGAGGCAGCAAATCTCACTTACCTCTAAAGTCCTCATAACATCATTATCTCTCAAATGTTATCACTCAGGTGTCTCTAGGGGACAGCAGTCTGGAGGCTGACCACATTATCAGTGCCATTCCAGCTGCAGGTAATGGGACAGTCCCTCCCTTTCCCTAACCAGGAGGCGATAGTATGCCTTCCTATGCCAGCAGGGCCACATTGGGTTCCTGGGCTGGTCATCCATGAGGGATTCCTATAAGACAAAGCTAGCCTACTATGAATGCCTCTGCCTGATCCCCAGTGCTCAGCAAGCTGCTCCCTGCCGAGGCTGCACCTCTAGCTCATGTCCTGAGTACCATCACTGCCGTATCTGTCGCTGTGGTGAATCTGCAGTACCAAGGAGCTTGTCTGCCTGTTCAAGTAGGAGGAAGAGGAGGGGGAAGAGGAGGAGGAGGAGGAAAGACATGTCTCAGTGAGAGCCCTTCCCTCCTGATCTACAGATATTTTTCCCCCAGGGATTTGGACATTTGGTGCCATCATCAGAAGACCCAACTGTCCTGGGAGTCGTGTATGACTCAGTTGCTTTTCCTGAGCAGGATGGGAACCCCCCAGGCCTCAGAGTAACTGTGAGAGAAGGGAACTTTGCGTATAGTGGGGTTTCCAAGGACTCCTCTGTGCCTTAGTGGAGGCAAGGCAGGATGGCCGATGCTGTATTTCCTCGCAGGTGATGTTGGGAGGCTACTGGTTACAGAAGCTAGAAGCTAATGGTCACGAATTGTCTCCAGAGCTGTTCCAACAGCAAGCACAGGAAGCAGTTGCTACACAATTAGGACTGAAGGAGCGACCAAGTCACTGCTTGGTCCATCTACACAAGGTGAGTTGAGATTCTTATTAGTTCCCCATTGAAAATAAGGACTAACATGTTTATCAGTATGTCAGCCAAGCGAGGCCTTGGAAATCAGTAATAAACTTGCCCTTACATCTTGTCTCTCCTTAGAACTGTATCCCTCAGTATACACTAGGACACTGGCAAAAACTAGGTAAGCTGGGAAAGCGGCTGGGCTGAGGAAGTCGGAGCCCAGCTATAACATTCCTCTCATCCTTCCTTACCTTTCAGAGTCGGCTATGCACTTCCTGACTGCTCAAAGGTTGCCCCTGACTTTGGCTGGAGCTTCCTATGAGGGGGTCGCTGTCAATGACTGTATAGAGAGTGGACGTCAGGCGGCAGTTGCTGTCCTGGGCACAGAATCTAACAGCTGATTTCCCTTCTCCCACTCACGAAAATAAAAGTTGCTGGAACTTGATTTGGTCTTGCTATTCTGTCAGCCTACAGGCTTGTTGGGACCAGGGGTGGTGGAAGAGGAGAAAGTGTCCTGGAATGCAAAAGGCACAAGCAGAGATGAGACAAAGTCCTTTATTAGAAAAGATATCAAAATCCTAGCCCCCTGGGCCAAGACCAGAGGAGCTACTCCAGCACAGGCAGGAAATGCCCTGGAAGGGGCTTCCTCCACCAGACAGCTTCTTGGGAACCATAAATAGAATAAATATTCACAGAGGTCCCAGGAGAAGCCACGTCACTCGTGGAAAAGAGTGGCATCCATGGACGAGGAAGGGGCTTGGGGTCCAGCCCTGCTCCTACCCCGGGGGCAGGGGACTCCCAGGATTCGTCACATAAAATGACAAGGATTCACAGTTATAAGCCCTGATAGGTGGCCCCTAGAAAGAGGAACCTCCAGGTCTAGAGGAGCCCAGCTCCAGTCTAGCAGTGAGGAGAGGTCCCTGCCCCCCAGCCCAGCACTAGAGTTTAGTCCCCTCACATCCCTCCGAGAGCAGTGTGGAGCAGAGGGTGTGGGGAACACAATCCCTCTGATTCAGTTTCATGATTAAAAGTGGGCAAAGAAGAGTCAGTGTGAACCATGGGGAGCTGTGTGGTTGGCAGTAGGCAGAGGGCCAGGCCTAACTGGGGGCCGGCGTTGCAGCATCTCTTGTCGGAAGGCCTGGGAGGAGCCCGGTGGGTATCGGGGACCAGAGGACCGAGGACCCCGAGGGTCAGTTCCAATGTCTGCAGTGATGTTGGTATAGAGAGGACCCAGTTCTCTAGCCAGCAACTGGTATGTCAGTGAGTTCATTCCATCTTGTGTCCAAGAATTCTGGGTGCGGACCAGGAGGTCAAATCTGAAGGTTAAAGGTTTAAGACTAAGATCTAAAAGGAAGAGCCTGGAGTTTGGGGACCCCAATAACAACGCCCTTCCTACCTGTGGGGATTTTCCTCGTTGCCTTTGTCCCCTCTGTGCTTCACCATCTTATAGTGTCCTACAGAGGTGGGTGGTCGAGAGATCTTCATCCCAGCCAGACGGACCCTAGGAGAAAAGAAAGGGAGGAAGTCTTGGAGGAGCCAGAGTGGGGAAAAAAAATCTGCTGGCAGATGAATGAGGAAAGTAAAGACAATCAAGGAAGTGATGACATATGCCTATACACAAAGAATAATTACCGTCTGTCTGGCAAGAAAAAAAAAATAAATAAAAACTGCCAGGTAGAAGAAGGCAGGAGAAAATCAAATAGAAAGAAGGTAAAGTTGGCTGTACCCAAGTCAGCAGGGCCTAATGCCAGACGCCCTGGGGCCTTAAAAGAACTGGCAGAGATAGATATGAAATTCTTTGACTTCCTTTCTAAATGGCTCCTAGGAGTGCCCTTGGAGTCTTGGGAGGACAGAGAAGAGTAACCATTTTGTCTAAAGCATAGAAATGGCAGATCTAAAGTCATCCACCTCTGCCTTTCGGCATTTAAAGTGAGGCTTACGTAGGCTAAACACACGTGACCACCGAGCTGCACCCCTAACCCAGCAAGTCTTATTTAGAAGTAGTGTAACCACCCAGCTCCTTTCCAGCTGCTGCCTCGTGTGAAAGAGAAGAGCAGAAGCAGGCAGATGCTCAGGACCTTAAACAAGCCCAAACTCTGAAACATAAAAGCAAGGAGTGGAGGTAGTTTGACAAAGAACTGAAAAAAATACATCTAGAATTTTCAGGGTGTAAGATTTACACACAGAGAGATGAGAATTCACATAAAGATGTCGCTACAGGGGACAAAAGGGGAGGGGAGGCAATGGACCCGGCATACCAAGCTCAAATACACCGCTCATGAAGCTGGTTCAGGGGAGGCTAAAGATAAGAATGTTTCACGTGCTAGGAAATGAGTGGGCATTATGCCAGTTAGGAGCCCCTCCCTTTTTTTCCTTAAAAAAAGAAAAAAAGAAAGAAAAAAAAGTGATTCTAGGGTATGTGGGGCAGAATCCCTCTCCTCCGTTCTCACAGAAGCAGTCTCTGCGTAAGCCTATCAAAATGAAGAACTACTGTCTTCTTTGTTGTTGTTGTTGTTGTTTGTTTGTTTTTTGAGACAGGGTTTCTCTGTGTAGCCCTGGCTGTCCTGGAACTAACTCTTGTAGACCAGGCTAGCCTCGAACTCACAGAGATCCGCCTGCCTCTGCCTCCCGAGTGCTGGGATTAAAGGTGTGTGCCACCACTGCCTGGCTGAACTTTAGGGGCATGTCTTTAGGCCCCTTCTTGAGAGCTAGAATTCCATATTTCCAGTTGATCTTACCCCTCTTTTCAAGAATATAACCAACCAGATCTATCTAGAAAACTGAAATTTGACAGAACGGGCAGCAGTGGACAAAGGAGGTCGAAGGAAAGAGTTGGCTCAGTGTAGAACAAGGAAGCTAAAGATCTGTGTTGAAAGACTGTGGCCAGGGTTTAGGAAAGAGGTGTCGTAAGAAGTCTGACCTGGTAGCAATGTCATCATCCTCACCACCCCAGCCCCAGTATTCATTGGGGAAGCCGTTCATCTTCAGGTACTGGTCAGGAGTGAGTGCCGAAACCCCACCAAAGTACTGGGGGTACGGGAGGCTAGGGAGAAAAAGATCTTTGTATTTCACAACTTTGGAGCATCAACCCTACCCACAATCCCCTTAGCTCTCCACCTGCTACAAGGCTGCTTTCCCGGCTTTCTGGTGCTCTTCCATGCCCATTACCTGTATCCAAACTTGTTCATGGCAACAGCAACATGGCGGGGTCCCCGGGGGTCGCAAACATACAGGTTATGATCATTTTCTGGAAGAAGGTCCACGTCATGTAAGAACAAGCAGTCCCATTCTTCATCGCGCAGGGCTTCCCGCACCCCAACATTCAGTAGCTTTGCCCTGTTAAACGTTCCATTTCCAGCCTAGAAGATAATGAAGGGGACCGGGCTCAGTATGAGAAAGCGTCTGTGCACGAGCACTGAAGTAAAAAGAGGAAAGACCTAAGCGGAATATGGGGCCAAGAGGAGGAAGAACAAAACAGACAGCTGAGCGTGGTGGTACCTGAGTGTAACTCCAGCACTCAGAAGACAGACAGGAAGATCTTAGGTAGACTATAAGCAAAACAAGGGCTGGAGATGTGGCTCAGCTGGTTGAGTGTTATCTAGCATTCATTAAGCTCTGGGTATAATCCTCAGCACCATATAAAACCAAGCATGGTATCATGTGCCTGCAATCCCAGTGTGGGAAGGTAGATGTAGCAGGATCAGAAGTTAAAGGTCATCCTGAGCTACATAATAAATTCTTAGGACAGCCTGGGCTACATGAGACCCTATCTTAAAAAACAAAACAAAGGGGGGTCGGAGAGATTTAGAAGTTAAGAGCACTGGCTGTTCTTCCCGAGGTCCTGAGTTCAATTCCCAGCAACCACATGGGGGCTTACAACCATCTAAAATGGGATATGATGCCCTCTTCTAGCCTGTAGGGATATATGCAGGCAGAATACTGTATACATAACAAATAAACAAATCTTTAAAAAACAAAACAAAGGAAAAATCATAGAAAAAAATATAAGAGAGTAGGAATACCTTAACATAATAGGGAGGCAGACCTGACAGAAAAAGAATGGGACTAACAAAGTTGAAAGAGCAAGGCTCCAATTATCTATTGTCTAATCCTTTAACAGTTACCCCACAGACCCATTAGACGAGAGAAGAGGCATTTATTTGAGGCTTCCTTAACATCAAAGAAAGAGGAAGGAGCCAGGTGTTGGTCTTTAATCCCAGCACCTGGGAGGCAGAAGCAGGTGGATCTCTGTGAGTTCAAGGCCAGCCTGGTCTACAGAGTGAGTTCCAGGACAGCCAGAACTACAACACAGAGAAACCCTGTCTCAAAAAACAAAACAAACAAAAACTAAATGAAAAAATGGATAGCAAGAGTAAGGTGGAAAGGGGGAATACCTGGTGGATGTGGGGATACCTGGTGGATGACATAGATGCCATAGGCAAGCTGCTGGCGCTGTAGGAAGGGGTGCAGGTGATAGAGCAGCAAACGCAAATGGTGCTCCCTGGCACGATGGGGTACAATTATGGCTGTTCGGGAGCGTGGCTCACATTCTGCAGGACGGTACCGGCCCCCTGGTTCCACCCGGGGGTTCCGCTCCACAATCTCTGCTAGAGATGGCACTGGGCTGAACGATACTGACACAGGACCCACTGTTGGTAGGGAAAGGCAAGTTCAGAAATTGGAGACACGAGGAGAAAATGGGCATCAGAATCTGAGACTACCTCTGGCCAAATAGCCTGATTTAGGGCTCACTTCCCCCAAGGACTCACTCAAAAATCTAACACGCCTTGGATTTCCCTTCATTAAGACAGTTCCACAAAGCCTAAAGCTGCAGGCAGCCTCCTTACCTTAGACTACTTACTTTCTTATTTTAGGGTTTATATAACTTTCTCTTGTCCCACACTGAAGCTACAGGAGAAGAGCAAAAGGACTTCTACCTAATAAAGCCAAGACTCATCTACAGGAGAAGTAATTCCTACCCTGGGGCATAAAGAGCCCATAAAATGGGCAGGCAGTGGAAAGCCTGGTACCAAGAGCTTAGTCTATTTGAATTCATAGGTCACTCTATCTCGACATGAGCCCAGCTTAGAATACATTAACCTAAGTCTCAATTCGTGCCTGTCCAAGGCTCCCTGCCCCCTCTCCTCGTTCTCTTCTTCACCTTCTTCCCTTGGTACTCACCTAAAAAAGGAGATCTTTCTGGACAGTAAGGCAGAGCTTGGGCTGGAGGAACCCCTGCAGCGACAGGAGCTCCAGGCAGGTGACTGAGGTTACTATAGACATCACGGGGATGAGAATAATCAAACGTTGGGCCCTGATCTCGACCAAATAGGGCACTAAGGCTTCGGAAGCCCCCAAGTGACAGATACATCATAACTGCCAGCTGGGAGCCCACAAGCAGGGCCAATGTGCACGGTCTCTCCAGTAGCCTCCGCAACATCCTGA